ACCCCCCTTCCCTCCTGGTATCGCCACTGTCAGTTTATTTTAAAAATTAGAGAAAACCCATGTGTTGTACATAATCCATTACTCTTGAATACACAACCACAGATTAAAGTACAGCAATCCTCACGCCTATTGAGTCTCAGCTGGAAAGCAGACCAATGAATCGAATTAAATGAAGAAAAAGGCATGACCACCATGCTATAGCTGTTGTATGCCCTTGAGTCGATTCTATGATTTTGTAGCAACCCTTTTTTACTAACTCTCACACATATCCGTAAATTCCACCAATGAGCCCTGTGGATTCAAAGGTGAACCACTTGGCTGCAAACTGAAAGGTCAGCTCCAACCCCCCGGCTGCTTGGAGGGAGAGTGATGTAGCAGTCTGCTTCCGTAAGGGTGACAGGCTTGGTGTCGGTGTGGGCCATGTCTACTCTGTCCTCGATAGCACACAGCAACCACTTCCTTCAGTGATCCCTACTTTTAATCACTCCACAAATGCCAAAAAACCTCCCAGACAATACAAAATATGAGCCATAGGAATCAGATCTGATCAAGATGACAAGGAAAACTTTATTTTCAATCTAATTCAGTCTGGTCTCAAAAAAATTGCAAACTCATAAATGTAGGGATTGAAACATAAAATGCCAGCTTAGTAATAAAGTTTTCCTACTGAATGTCAATTTTCAATATCAAAAGTCCTTGTCTTCTATTTAGTCCTATCTTTAGCAACATCTCTAACTGGTTATATCTCCTACATCAAAACTGAAGGGAAGTCAGTATGACAAATGGTGGCTTTGATCAACCACACAGAGGAAATAATAAAGAGATACACATGGAAGGCAGTTTTTCTACTACACACAAAGAGCCATAAGCAAAGGAAAGGAGACGGGCAGAGATATCAGTCAGCCAGAAACACTTCTCCCAGATGTACCAGGTATTTCCAATGATGTAAACCCAACAAAGTTCTGCAGGGTACTCCCTGGAAACACTCACTGTTAGAGGCAACAGTACAGCACTCATTACCACCGTGAACAAAAATAGGTAAGGTTCCTTGTTTCACAATTTCTTTGTTTATCTTCTTTCCTACAACATTCACTTTATCTTTGTTCAATTTATCAGTCAATACTTACCAGATATTGGTGCATTATGTCTGCATATAGACTTCTATGGCAGATATTAGTTATAAACAATCTAAACAGCAATGTTCCTGCCAACTAGATCAAAGGCCAGTATTTGAGAATAGGGAGGAAATGAAAAAGAGTAAGAATCAATACAAAATTTTGAACTGTTATCCATTAATTCATTCAGCAAATGTAGATACGATGATTATAATGCATAAAACTGAATTGGGCTACTGAAAATTTTCGACACTTCTAAAACATGGGATAGAGACCTAAAGCCGATCTGTAGACAATGGAACATCCCCCCACAAGGGGTCTCAGGGAAGGGATGAGTCAATCAGGGTACAGCAGAGCATGGATGGATCACACGATATTCCTCTGGTTCCTTGAGGCTTCCTCACCCCCCACTGTCATGAACCTAGTGCTGCTTCTCACTCTGGACTGGACCGGAACATTACACAGGTATAGACAAGAGATCAAGCCCACATCACATGGAACTCAGGAATAGGAATGGGAATAGCAATACCAAAAGTGAGGAGGAAGGGGGAAGAGGAGGAGAGGTAGGGGGATCTGATGGCAATGACTGGCACATAACCACACATACCCTCCAGGGGGAAGAATAACAGAAACCAGAGGGGAAGGAAGACAGCAGTCGGTGTGAGGTATGAAAATAATAGTAATGTATAATCTATCAAGGGGCCA